AGGCTTTTATTGAGTTCAATTTGTGCAGAAATACAGGGTGTATATGTAAAGCTCATCAATCATTGTCCGGCAGAAATGATTAAACAATAGATAACATTCAAAGAACTCTGAGGGCTTATTCTGAGTCAGGGTCAGATAGTTAAAGGGCCATAAAACTTTAGAGAACAAGCTCTTTTCATGCTTGGGCCCTTATTTAAATTGAGGGTATTAGAAAAGTAGGCTAATCCTATACTTTTGCTAATCCTATACATTAGCAAAATGTATAGGATTTTATGCATTCTTTCTTAGGCCTGATTGCCCTAGGGAACCCGCCTTTTTCAGCACAGGGCCGCACCTACCTCCAGCATTATTTCAGGCTTAAGTCAGATAGGGGAAGTAAGGCAGCCAAGAGATTAGGAGACTTCTTTCAGATAGAATGAGGACTCGGGCTATGTCAAGCCATGGGGCAAGGGTCCATCACCTGCTTTTGCTATTGCTCCCCAACTCCTTCCCTGAGGGCCCCATTTGTGACCATGCCTGTCTTAGGTTGTCCATCCTTTGAGGAATCTTAGCTGTCATTAGCTAACCAGTCATCCACCAGTGCCAAGCCAGGTGAGGTGAGGCCAAGCCAAGCCAGAAGTGGCACCCCTATAAGGAAGATAAGCTTTGTCTCCCAAGTGGCTTATGATCCCAAATTTTTTTTACTCTGCCTTAGCCACAGAGGATTACATCTTCTCAAACCAGGCAGGGCAGTTCCCAACAATGGATATTAGGTAAGCTACTACGACATTTGGTACCTACTCATTTTACAGAGGATAAACAGAGATCGAGAGAGTTTACATAATTTGCTCAAGCTGTGCAGACTGTAAGTTGTAAATCAAGCTTGTGTAATATGCTGGGCAGTGTTTCATGCATTCTCTTTATGGGAGTGTCATCTGAGCTAGGGACTGTAATTGGACTTGGACAAGTATTTCATCATGTTGGCACCTAAACAATAAATAGCTCATTGGTTTTGTCTCTACCAAATGGCTTTCATCTCATTTCTTGAATTCATTCCTCAGATTCCTAGGCCCCCTAACCTAAAGACTGCCTGTTAAGATTTGGAACAACTGAATTTACTCCCTTTTGTCTGAGATCTGCAGAAGGAACCTCTTTAATATGATCTTCAAGTTAATATATGAATAGATCAGAGGTGGATACTAGGTTACGTGGATAGAGAATTCAGTCCTATTTCTTTCCCTTTTGAGAAACTGATACTGATCTCTCTCATTTTTGTGTAACTGTGTACTGCAGATTTAGAGTTTTAATATTGTATGTGTTTTAAGTTCCACATGGACAAGAAGCATAGCTAGGGGTTTTTGTGTGTGTGTGTGTGTGTGCTTCACAGGGTGTAGCAGAGTCTAGCAAACATGGCATGTACTTAACTGATAGACGATGAGATTTCTGGACTATATAGGTGATAGTATGAGAAGAAAATGAATTTCGGGAAAAGTCTTTCCCAACTCCAATTGGAGTACTGCAGCTTGAGATTTCTCTATCTACTGTAAAATTTTGCAGCGTTAGGTACAAAGTTGACATTGTAATTTTTTTCACTTGTTTTGTGCTGCAGATGTGGAGGATATGAATCAATCTCTTAAGACTTTAATAAAACTGTTGTATCTTAATTAAATTAGCAATTTTCTTTCTAAATCCCTCAAATCTCAACTCTGTTTTCTTTTCCAATTCCAAGTAACTTTACTCATTCAAATAAAATTCTCTTGACACTATTTCAACATATTCAATAAATACATGAAAATTCAAATAGTAAGAATACAATGAGGGAAAATAAGTTTGGACATAATTGTCATTTCTGGTATAATACAATGGACAGACCCATTCCGGTAATGTATTATGAACCATCAGAACACATTCAGGTAAGTGACAAAGGCCACCATACATTTGACATTTTAATCAAATAATACTGACCATAGTGGTGATAGAAATTATTTTAAAACATGACAGAAAAATGAAACATTGAAAATAAGGTAGCCAGGTTGAAAGGTATCTAAATATGGGGTCAGAAGTCTCAGGTTAAGGTTCTATTGCAGGTACATGTTGGGCATTTAATTTTGGATTAAAGTCACTGAATACCTCCTATGTGTTAGTCACCATGATGGGCACTGAAAGTACAAAGGTGAAAAAAAGCACAATCCCCACTAGGAAAAATCTTTAGTTTTTTTAACCCAAATTTTTATCTTTTATTTTTTAATTATATTTTATTATGCTATTACAGTTGTCCCAAATTTCCCCTCTTGTCCCCCTCCACCCAGCCTCTACCCACTCCCTCAAGCAATCCCCACACCATTGTCCATGTCCATAGGTCACGCATATGTGTTCTTTGAATACTCTAATTCCTATGCTGTACTTTACATCCCCATGACTATTCTGTAACTACCAATTTGTAGTTCTTAATCCCTTCACTTTTTTCATCTATTTCCCTACGCCCTTCCTATCTGACAACCATCAAAATGTTCTCTGTATTTGTGATTGTGTTTCTTTTCTGCTTGTTTGTTTATTATTCAATTGTTGACAGATATTGTCACCATTTTATTATTCATATTTTTCATCTTCTTCCTTTTCTTACAGAAGACCCTTTAACATTTCATATAATGCTGGTTTGGTGGTGATATTCTCCTTTAGTTTTTTTTCTTTTCTAGGAAGCTCTTTATCTGTCCTTCAGCTCTAAATGATAGCTTTGCTAGGTAGAGTACAATCTTCATTGTAGGTCCCTGCTTTTCATTACTTTGAATATTTCTTGCCTGAAAAGTTTCTTTTGAGAAATCACCTGAAAGTCTTATGGGAGCTCCCTGTTAGGTAACTAAATTCTTTTCTCTTTTTGCTTTTAAGATTCTTTGTCTTTAACCTTTGGCATTTTAATTATGATGTGTGTTGGGATGGGCCTGTTTGCGTTCATCTTGTTTGGAACTCTCTGCATTTCATGGACTTGTATGTCTGTTTACTTCACCAAGTTAGGGAAGTTTTCTGTCATTATGTTTTTCAGATAGGTTTCCAATTTCTCGCCCTTTCTCTCCACCTTCTAGCACCTCTGTGATGCAAATGTTAGTATACTTGAAGTTGTCCCAGAGGCTCCTTACACTGTCCTTGTTATTTTTGTATTCTTCTTTTCTGTTTTGATTGGGTAATTTTCACTTTCTTATATTTCAAATCACTAATTTGATTCTCAGCTTCATCCACTATACTGTTGATTCCCTGTAAATTGTTCTTTATTTTAATTAGTGTATCCTTCATTTCTGACTGGTTCTTTTTTATGGTTTCCATGCTTTTTTTTTGTTAGCTTAATTTTATATTGCCATAAGAAAGTATAGCACTATTAAGTGTCTATCACATCTTATGGAGAACTTCAATCTTAGGTCACAGCGTTAAGAGCTCCTGGTTTTGCTCACATAAGCTCTCTTTGAAATGACCTATCCATGATCTTTTTTTATGCTGTTGAAGTTCTCACTAAGTTCACTGAGCATCTTTATGACCAGTGTTTGGTACTCTGCATCTAGTGGCTTGCTTGTCTCCATTTTGTTTAGTTCTTTTTCTGGAGTTTTGTTCTGTTCTTTCTGAGATGTTTCTTTGTCACCTCATTATGACAGCCTCCCTGTGTTTGTTTCTATGTATTAAGTACAGCTGCTACATCTCCCAAGCTTGATAGAGTGGCCTAATGTAGGTATCCTATGGGGTCCACTGGCACAGCCTCCCCTATCACCCAAGCTAGCTAGATACTTGAGGTGTACCCACTGTGTGGGCTGGCACTCCCTCTTGTTGTAATTAAGCCTTGATTGCTATTGACACATCCAAGGTCAGCTACCACCTGTGTTCTCTCCAGGGTCACACAGCATAAGCTACAAAATGATCTGCAAAAGGCTGCTACTTGTGCTGGGTTTGGAGGTACCCAGGCAAGGCCAATCTGTGAACCAAGGGTGGCTGCTGCTAGTGCCAGGCCTGGGGCAACTTAGCAAGAGGTACAGTGCTTGCTGAACGCAGATGCTGCTTGTTTGAGATAAGTTAGGAAAATCTGAAGCATGAGCCAAGACTAGCTATTCATGTGGAAAAGCCCCTGGAATTAGCTTGGGTGGGCCTGAAAATTGGGTGGGGAAGAACCTCAGGGAACTACCAGAGTAGGCTGACAGTGTGAGGCAGGTTGATGGAGTCTCAGATATGGCACCCGCCTGCTGGCTCTGTGGCTCTGTTGGGGGAGGGCTCAGAAATGAAACAGTTGCCTCTGTCAGCACTTCTTTTTAGGAGAAAACTGTCACCCAGCTTTCACCCTGATGCTGGACAGTTCCTTCCCAAATGTCCGCAATGCCTTTCGAGCTGCTGCCCTGGTGCTAGAGCTCGGAGGGAGTGAGTCTGAGTAAGTCCGTGCATGGGCTTTTTAAGAGGAACTGCTAGGGAATCTAGCAGTTTCTGTATTCCACCACAGTCTTAATACCGCATGGTTTTTATGGCCAGAAGTTATGGGGACTTGTCTTCCTGCCACTAAAACCCTGGGCTGAGGGGCCTAGTATGGGGCTGGGATCCGTTGCTCCTTAGATATCTCTCCCTATTTTTATCTACCACATAGGGTATGGGACCAGCCCATTCTGCCCCTCCTGCCAGTTGTGATGTAGTTTCTTCTTTAATTTTGTAGTTGTAGGACTTCCATTCATCTCCATTTCTGACAGTTCTGAATGATGATTGTTCTATAATTTAGCTGTAATTTTTTAGTGGTTGTGTGAGGAGGTAAGTACCATGTTTATCTATGCCACCATCTTGACTAGAAGTCTGAAAAATCTTACTTAGTTTTTTTTTTAACATTTTTTATTGATTATGCCATTACATTTGTTCTATTCCCCCCCCTCCTTTCCCCTCCACCCTTCACACCCCTCTCCCACCATCCCCCCCTTTAGTTCATGACCACATGTCTCAAGTTCTTTAGATTCTGTATTTCCCCTACTATTCTTACCCTCCCCCTATCTATTTTCTATCTACTGTCTATACTACTTATTTTCTGTACCTTCTCCCCCCTTCTCCTCCTCCCACTCCCCTGTTGCTAACCTCCATGAGATCTTCATTTCTATGGTTCACTCCTGATCTAGCTGTCCTCTTAATTTGCTTTTGTTTTAGGTGTGGTTGTTGATAACTGTGAGTTTGCTGTCCTTTCACTATTCATCTTCTTTTATCTTCTTTTTCTTAGGTAAGTCCCTTTAACATTTCATATAATAAGGGCTTGGTGATGATGAACTCCTTGAACTTGGTCTTATCTGAGAAGCACTTTATCTGTCCTTCCATTCTAAATGAAAACTTTGCTGGATAGAGCAATCTTGGTTGTAGGTCTTTGATTTTCATGACTTGGAATACCTCTTTCCAGCCCCTTCTTGCCTGTAAGGTCTCTTTTGAGAAATCAGCTGACAGTCTGATGGGAACTCCTTTGTAGGTGACTGTCCCCTTATCTCTTGCTGCTTCTAGAATTCTCTCCTTCATTTTAATCTTGGCTAATGTAATGATGATGTGCCTTGGTGTGTTCCTTCTTGGGTCCAACTTCTTTGGGACTCTCTGAGCTTCCTGGATTTCCTGGAAGTCTATTTCCTTTGCCAGAATAGGGAAGTTCTCTTTTATTATTTGTTCAAATAAGGTTTCCACTCGTGACTGTTCCTCTTCCCCTTATGGTACCCCTATAATTCGGATGTTGGAATGTTTAAAGATGTCCTGGAGGTTCCTAAGCTTCTCCTCATTTTTTTGAATTCTTGTTTCTTCATTCTTTTCTGTTTGGTCATTTTTTCCTTCCTTCTGGTCCTCTCCTTTGATTTGAGTCCCAGTGTCCTTTCCATTACTGTTGGTTTCCTGTGCATTACCATTCATTTCAATTAGTTTAGCTTTGATATGTTTCTCTAATTTGTGACTAAAATCAACCAGTTCCGTGAGCATCCTGATCACCTGTGTTTTGAACTGTGCATCTGAAAGTTTAGCTATTTCCTCATCACTTAGATTTATCATCTCTGGGGCTCTGAGTTGTTCTTGAGCCATTTTTGGCCTGTTTGTGCCCATTTAAGTATGAGGAGCAGAGCCTTAGTTGTTTACCAGGGCGGGGCCACCCAGGTGGCTGGTTTGTGATGCTGTATGTGGGGGTGGGGTCGGAGAGGGAGCAATGGCGGTCCTCTGCTCGCCCAGTCTATCCCACCACTCGCCCAGTTTGTCCCACCGCTTGCGCCTGCCTGTTTATCTGAGCAGAAATGTGCGAGCCAGCCACCCTGTGCCGTGTGGTCTCAATGCTAGCCTCTTCACTGGTTTATCTGCACGCAAATGCTCAACTGATCTCGCAGACAGCCAGCCAGCCACGCCTCTTCCCTATGTCCACCTGTAGCTAGCCCACACCTGGGATCAGCGCCTTTTGCTGCTTGAGCACCACCCCGTTGGGGATCTTTTTTGCCAACCCGCTCTGCTGCTGGCTTCGCTCCTTTTACCGGTTTAGCTGAGCATTTCGTTGTCTTTGGACTCCATATTGTCGATTTTCTGTGTGGTTTGGTTGTGTTTATTGTTGTTAAAACTTTGTTTTTAGATTTGGTTGTGTGCAGACACAAGGTATTTCCACCTATGCCTCCATCTTGGCGGAAGCAGAGCAAATCTTACTTAGTTTTGAATCACCAAAAGTCTCAGACAAATGACCTAGTCCAGATACTAATATTGGTTGAGATATGCTTACCTTCACTTAAGAATTTCATAATATTGAGCCATTTATGATAAAATCATTATGGCCTTATATAGTCTTGAGAAATACAGTTTATTCCAGAATACAAGCAATATAATATATATTTGGCTAATAATAATCATTTTAAGTATTTCATACAGATGCACATGATTAACATCTAGTGTTTCTCAGAAGGGATGATATAAATTCTGTTTTTATTTTTGTCTTTATAGTAAAATTATTGACAAAGTAATGAAACAAAGATATATTGCTCTATACTTGTTTGCGTCTATATGGTTATTCTCAGCTTTGTTTATCTTATGTTCACCAGCAATTATATCCAATGGAGCTTAACAAATTAGAAATCAAAAAGCCTACAATTTCAGAAAAAGTTATATTTCATAATTATTCTATTATGTTTATCATTTATTGTCAGTGTTAAGCTATGAAAAATTGCAGTAGAAATTGCTAAGGCCTTAAGATAAGTAAAAACTATTTCATTAGTAGTTGAAAATGTTATCATTATGGTTGAGTATAAATTATTTTACTACCTTAGTAGTAAAACACAAAGATATTTAATAAAAATATTGTTATCAATAGATTTATGTAAAATTTTATAACACCAGGTAGACAAAGCAGAATAAAGGTGTTAGCATTAAGATGTCAGGTGATTTGGGAGTGAAGCTCAGGGATGCCAAAAGTGTATCAAGAACACGGTCAAAAGAAATGAAGGCAGAAAATAAATCAAATGAATATTTCATAGTAAACAGGATCATTGACATGCTGGACAACAAAAAGACTTGTGCATGTAGGAAGAAAGGATTAGAAAAATTGTGTCCAAGGTGACTAGTATATGCAAAATCACTGATCTCTGGAAGCCCAGGTCAGAAGGACATGGTATGTCACAAACATAAGGGATAACCAGTTATTGAAATTGTAATATTAATCTTGTATCCCATCTTAGATTTCTGACCCCCACCATGATACTTGGATGCCCTAATCTATGTTGTGGCTCAATGCTTTTTCTGGAAAAAAAAAAAAAAAGAGTTTTAAGTTTGTTAGATATTTTTAATGATTCCAATTCTATATTTGTGCTAAAATTTATTTCACTTCCTAATATAAGAATGCCTTACTTAAATTAACTTGATCTATAAAAATTAGAATTTAAAAAATGAAATAATTAGAGGCGAAATTATTCACTTTACAAATACTGCATTTATTTTTCTTAATTTGTAAATTATCTTTTCCTTTTTACCATATTTATATTATCTCCTTAGCCATGTAGGCATCTGAAGTTTTGGGCATCTACAAATCTGGTGTTTGTGAAATAGTCAGTCTAGGTTTTTACTAGCATAGTAATCGAGCCCATTGTTTGGAACCAGAGAAAATTTTGTCCATATGTAGCTCTTTAAAATGGATCTCTGTCTAAAATGAGACTTGGACTAAGGCTCTTGTTTCTCCCCAGAGGTCTCAGTTATAATATGAAGTTCTCTCTGGGCTGAATGTAGAGAAAAGTGAAGGTCTATATGTCTCCAGAATATTTTCAGGTCCCTTCACCAATACCCTACTTAATATACCAAGACTTGTATTAAATATGCAGTGATACACAGGGGAATAAAAACAGAACTGAGGATTACAAAAAGTATGCATTTTTAACATAATAAGAGAAACATTCCACAGCATGCTAAGCAGTATTTCCTTTAAATTCTCTCTCTCTCTCCCCTTCTCTTTCTTTTTTTCTTGACAATCTCTTCAATGGTAGCTATTTGGGCTACCCAACCCAGGATTCATAGCTTTTCATCACATTAACTTTAAGAGAGCTTAAATTTGATATTCTCTCTTCTTGAATGCTCACTTTGGTCCTTTAATTGAATTAGAGCGAGTTGATTATCCTTTACTCCTATAAACACTCCAGGATTGCTCTTACATTCAAACGAAACACATGAAGAGGGCCCAGGCTCCGTATGAAGGAAAAAGAAGGTCTGGTCCGGCAATGGATTTTCACATTTTTGTAGCTGAGGAAACGAGAGAGAGCAACCAATACATGAATAGGAATTCCAGAGACAGCTTCATATCCCTCTGTTAGAAACGAAAGGGGAATAGTTATTTATAATTTGGTATTTTTAGCAAAGCTGCTTACTGAGTAGGGGATGGAAGAGGACAGAAGGGGAAAGAAGTAGAGGGTCAAAGTGGGAGGATTTGATTTGATTCACTGATTGTATACTTTGAGAGACATGTGGCTTAGAATGACTGGATCTAGATGCAACAGTTCTGGATTTTTACCCCTCTTTTGCCACATATTTTCCCTGAGACCTGAGCATATTGCTTTACTTCTTAAGCCTCAGGTTTTTTGTCTAACCAATTTTTTAAATCAGTCACCCTAACTTACCCACAGACATGTGAGTGATATAAATGATTATTATTTTAAGTCACTAAGTGTTGGGGGGGGGGTTTGTTACACAGCAATACCTGACCAACACAATAACTCTATTATAGAGTTACTATGAGAATTAAATGAGATAGTAGTTGTAAAATATTTAGTGCTTGGTATTTAATAGAGCTCAGTATTGGTCATCTCTTATTATTGAGTACTTATATATGTCAAACACAGTATTGTTAAGAGATGCTGGTTACTATCTAGTGTTTATGCTAATACCTTGCATGGCTGAATGAATTAGCTTAATAATTTTGTGTATTTATATAATTTATCTTCTATATTACACTCTCATATTTTCTTTCTTTCTCTTCCTTTGGCTTCTTTGTTCTCTAAGGTGTTTATAATTCTTGATCACGACCAATATAATTCTCTAATTTACTAACTGAAAAAGACTATGCAGTGAATCCTATGATTAGAATGTAGATTGATATGCTATCTCTAAATCTTGGCATATGGAAATGTTTATGACCTTCCTTTTAAAAGGCTTAGAATATATAGGGGTTTTTTTTGTTTTTTTTTTTGCATTTTCCTAAGAAAACTGTATGTTACAAAGAAACCCTTCTTGGAAGAGCATGGTAGTTTCTAAAGCCAAATAAGAAGAATTTGAGATCATCCCATATAGTGGCGCTTCTCCAACTTTAATGTGCATATGAATCTCCTGGAGATTCATTAAAATGCTGATTTTATTTCAGTTGTGAGGGAGCCTGAAATTCTGTATTTTTATAATAATATGCTTCCAGGTGATGCAGTACTGCTGGCAGAGACCAGAATTTTAGTAGCAAGGCTATACATACCATTTCCCTCCCTTTCCTACTCCAGAAGCAAGTTATTGGTAGTAACTGATTATGTTTTCTGTACAATACAATAGCACAAACAAAATTTCTCCTTCAAAATACCTCAAATATCCAAATCTGCACAAATGAGTGGTATCAATCAAGACAGTTAAGTGCATATTTCCGTTACCTCCACAGAGTGCTCCTGGTTGTTGGCATGCAGCAAGAAGTCTTTGTCTTTTGAAGGACTCAGGCTTACCATTAATCTCTCACCATCAACATCATCACCTTGCAATTACAAATACATACATTATAAAGTTGTGACTCGTTTTAATTGAAATGAATTTAACATCCAGAAAATGAGTCTAAGATGTCATAAAATATCTACTTCATTCAGCAACATGTCTCTTACAAATATTTGTACCCAAATGAAACTAAAGTGTCATTGGACAAGTAAGGGATAATCCTGAACCCCTTGAAAAAGAGAGATTAGTTTTCTCACATGCTTTTGAATTGTAGAATTAGGACTCTAATGAGTATTTCTCTGGCTGTCAGCTTCTCTGTCTGCACGTAAAGCCATACATAATTGTCCCCCAATATTTAACTTCTATTCTTGTATTATAGCAGGATATTTTCCAGCCTGTGGGGTTTTAAAAAAATTATTTATTTATTTTTTGTAGCTAAGTGTAGAAATGTGACTAAGTTCTGACTAATGTGAGCCAAGTAGAAGTATCAGATACAACTTCCAGGTTATATCCTTAATGGGAAAGAGAATTTATGTACCCATGTTCTTCTGTTTTGTTAATTGGACTTTGTCATGGTGGCAAGTAATCTTGAAATATGCAGATATTGGCAGAACCACAAAGAGAGAAAGAGCTGGGTCCCTGGACAACCTGTTCAACAGAGCTGCCATTCCAGCCCTGGCTAAGACAGAAATAGGGTTTTTGTAGCTTAAGCCACTATTATTATAGGTCTCTATTAAATATGGCCAAACATTCTATTAAACTTCAAAATAGTTGGGATGGAGTAAATGCTCTAAGAATCTAAGATTTTACTAGGAGCTTGGGCTGGAGAGAACCATTTCCCATATGGAGCATTTTTAAAATTGACTTTACCCAAATTTAAAAATTCAAGCTTACAGCTACTCCAAATTACCTCTTGGACTTATAGGTGATTGTGAGCCGTGGTAACGGAATAACACCTTGTCTGAAAGAGAATGCATAAAATTCCTTTGGTGATTATCAAAAGGTTTCAGTTCCAACATATACATAATGTCAGAAAATATGCTCCTCTTTTATTTTATATTAGCAAAAGCTAAACTTTTATGGCTTTGAGGAAGATCTCAAAATGTATGCTCTGATGAATTCTCCATAAAATATTTAAAATAATTGTTCACAACACTGGTATACTCTTTTTTTAATCCTCACCTGAAGACACACTTACCAATTTTAGAGAGAGTAGAATGAAGGAAGAGAGAGAGAGGGAAACATCCATCAGTTGCCTCTCAGTCATGCCCCAAATCGGGACTGAACCCAAAACCTAGGCACATGCACTGACCAGGAATCAAACCCATGATCTTTTGGTTCATAGGACGATACTCCAACCAACTGAGTCACACTAGCCAGGACTCCTGGAGTTTTTACTTTAGTGGTATTGATAAGGTTGGAAAGACCTAGTAGGTAAGTTAGGATGTCAAATATATAAGTATGGTCTTCCTTCCATCTTTCACAACTAATACCACTTCCAAATATTAGTGTTCTTTCCTGATAAACTCTAACTAAGCTTCTGTATCCTCAACACAGTGATATTCAGGCATCCATTATCAATATATTAAAGTTAGCACACAGCAAGAAATCTATTTGCCCTGTCTGAGTTAATCCATGGTTTATGGTTTGGTTAATTGATTGTTTACTTATTAGTTGTCATTATATCATTACAGACAAAAGGAAATATTCTACCTTTTTCTTGTTTTTTTCCAAGATCTTCAACGTAGATCTCATAACTTCCATCCGCAAAAGCAAAGGTAACACATTGATCATTGTAGGTGCTCAGGGAATAAGAATCCTCTGTAATAAGTAAAAATCTCATCATTAAGAATTCAAAACTTGTTTTCATAAATGATCTTTTAGCAATTTTTAAAAAAATGCCTCCTCAAAGTTTTGTTTGTTTGTTTTTCAATTTGAGCTGTACTTTGTCCATTATTGTTGGACAGATGAAAGCCTTCTGTGTAAGTTAAGCTTAGCTCGAAGGCTGAAGTCACCAACTGAATGGGATTAAAGATGCTAATTTACTGCATGAAGGCCATGGGAGGCCATGCTTTTATGTTTATGGGAAGTTTTGGTGGGAAGAAAGAAGCTGGAAAGTGACAGTGCCTGAGGAAACCTCTGCTTCTTGGCTCCCCATGGACTATGGGATTGTGGGCAAGAAGGGGCAGTATTTGAATAGACATGAGATAAGTAAATAAGCATCTGTAAGGTGTGGAGTTACTCCAGGACTTCCAATAGTCCTGGAAAATACAGGTGTGAGCTCTATTCTGTCCTCTGGCTAAATAATGGAGACACTTAGAGTAGTACTCCCAATTTTTTAAAAATGTTCCAAAACACATAGAAAATGATAATATTTCAAAACGGCATGCTGGGGTAAACTGAAGCAGATTTAGGAATTACCTATAGGGATCCTAGAGAAAAAATTATTACATTTTCTTTACATTATAGGCTTATGCTAAGAAAATATATAAACATTAAGGAGATGTTAAATAATTGAATCTGTATGTGAACTTCTGAAGTAAAATGTTTCAGTGTGCTCTTGGGAACTTAAGACATTTGTGTCAGAAATAATGCTTGCAATGGCAACATGCAAGTCCTAATTAAGTTTCTTAATGATCTCTCCACTTCTTGGTAGTAACCATCAACTTGGACATTATTTGCTCAAGTAGGTGATACAATTTAAAAACATTTTAACAACTATTTAAAATGTCTGAGTTGAAATTATTCTTAAGAAATATAATAGCACCTCCTTTTCTTTCATTGTCAAAATGTTGAAATTTGGGAGGATCATGTATTTTTTTTTCTGAAAAGGATAATGTATTTTCCCCAGGAATAATGTATATGGGATTCCAATCCATAGCAAATATTTCAAAATTATGATGGAGTGTTTACTATAAAATGTGCATGCATTGTTAGAGCAGCTACCTTGCACCTGTTTTAGATACCACAAATGAGCATGTCAATAGAAAATGGACAGGAGTGTCTAATATACAAGAAGACATAGACTTGGGACTGCTTCCTGGAGTAGCAATTGCCAGGGTCCTGCATCTTATCTCCCTCCTCACTCTCACGCCTCCCCTGTGACCAGTCACACTCGGGTACCTGAAGAACTTCTGTTACGTGGCCGTACATCAAAGGCAATGTTCTTTGAAGACCTTTCAAGGGGCTGCTGACAGGGAGTGAATACCAGATGTTGCTTGTTGTACTTTCCAGCTGTAGGACAGGGGTGGGGTTAGGAGTGGACTATCAGTCCCCATTCTGCCTAGATCCCCTGTCCACCCCCTAACCCCTGCTTTGGAGTCCCAGTCAAAGCTGCTTGCTGACTTCTGCTTGCAAAGTGGTGGCTGGCCTTGGGGCTTCAGCTGCTCCATAGTCTGAAGAGATCAATGCTTCCCGATACACTTATACCCCAGAAGAACAAGCCTGTTGGATTCTAGGTGGAAGAAAACTAGTCACCCATGTCTCAACATCCAAAAGGAAACCATGATTAACATTTTAGTTTACTTCTTTTAAATGAAAAAATCACTTAAAAGCTATTATAAATATATAGACATACCTCACCTTATTGCACTTTGCTTAATTGTGTTTTTTACAAATGTTATTACAAATCAAGGGCAAGACCTTCTACCAGCAAAAGATTGAGACTCACTTGAGTGTGATACTCACTTTGTTGTGGTGGTCTGGAACCTAACTCACTTGTCTCTGAGGTATGCCTGTATATATAATTTTATATCCTCTGTTTTATTTAATGTTATGAAATAACCATTTTCTCCATTATATTAAAAATGCATATATACCTTTTTAAAAATGGCTTAAAATAGTTTATCATCTTTATTTTTTTCCAGAAGAAAAACTTGGGTGAGGGGAAAAAATTATATATCTAGATGTAGTAACTGAAGACAAATAGATGCTCATCAGTATATTGAAGAATTACCAGGAAATGTAGTTTCCACTTACCTGTTTTTGGTGGATGCCTTTTGATGGTTTTTCCCCTGTATTCTATGATATGGCCAGAGCGTAGCCTCATAAAATACATCTGGCGAACTTCTTCGACCTTCTGTTGGGGTGCTAAACAAATAAAAAATTTATGATACTGTTTCATTCCAACCATTTTTATCCTTTTACAAACCCTGAGTGTAGCAGATCAAGAAAGCAACCACAGATCTATAGTACTTTATCAGAAATTCTAGAGTCAGTTGTGTTTCAAGATTCAGAGTTTTTTAGATTTTAGTATTGTCATGTAGAAGATACATGGTATATATTTAGTGATCCCAGCAGGAACTAGGGCAGTTCAAAAATTAATAAAATTCAAAAATTAATAATGTTATAGTGAAACATAGGAAATTTTGTATAAAGTGGAATAAAGTCCTCATGGTGGTTCAGGTCAGGTTTTAACTGTCCGGTGAGCTCAGGTCATATTTTGCTATGAAATGATTGGGGGTCTATATCTAACATACATCAGTCTTCGCCTGAGGGAAACTCTTATAGTCATATGAAGCCTATAATATTTTTTTCTTATTTAGAATATACTTTTAGTAATTTTGGAGCCATAGCTGTAGTCTATAAAGGTTATTGATTTTAGAAATAGCCGTCATTTACTAAATGTCTACAGTGGACCAACCACTGTGCTAATAATTTTACATACTATGTCATTTAATCCTTTGCAACAATATAGCAAGAAAGGTATTATTCTCCTCACTTTACAGATGATGATCTAGCAGTCATGACACTTGCCCAAGGTTTCAGGTCTGGTGAGAAGTTCTGACTCATGTGTCTAATATCAAAGCTACTCCTTCCATCTACCTCCATATGGGAAAGTACTGCACTGCAATATTAGGGGCTGACAAAATACCAACTCATAAATCAGATGAAGTAAAAAAATAATTGTTCAATAATTCTAATTTCATTAAAATTTAATTTAATTAGCCAAAGAAAAATTAAAGTCTCAAATAAAAAAATTAAATTTGCTACCTGGAAATCATAAAGAGATTATCAGAGTCAACTAGAAAAGAAAGTTGTAACACTTGAGTCATAGGATCTCAACTTTCAACATTATAGTAAGTAAGCTTTCAAATAATTTTTATAATATAGCCAAATTTCCATTATTTGCAGTAATTCAGAAAATAAAAATAATTCCTTGTGACTTTAGGATCCATTCAATTGTTTTTCTTTCTAGAAGATTTGCCTTCCTAGTATGCTTTTCAAAGTTAAGTGGGATGAACATCTATAAGCTACTATTTTGAATTATTTATATCTTGCCTCTAATTTAGATGGGTGTCTACCTTTAAGTATCTTCAACTGTCTGAATGGGGCAATTAAGGGACAAGGCCACTTAATTATGCTCACATTCATCTTGGAATCCTTAACACTGCTTAATAATTCAGAAATACCAACTATGGTGTCTCATGCTTATACTGCGTTTTTAGAGTTAGAAGGATAATTTACAAAGCTGTGCTAGAGCCAGCATGGGACTTTGTCTCCTGAAAACTAATATAATACAACACTTTATTTATTATATCACACTCTCTCTTCAAAGCTAAATGCTGTAATATGATACTGTAAGCATACTCATTCCTTATATGTTTATCAGTCCCCATGGGGACAAGACAGGTATGTCTAATATTAAGAGTGGACTCTGTGGAGACTGGGCTATGGGCCTTGGGTAGTTAGAAGTGAGGGTCATAATACTGAGGAAGAATTGTGGATGTAAAAGGAGAGATGAGCTAAAGATGTGGATGTGCAGGCTAGTATCTGGTGGGACAAACCCTGGCTATAATTCCTTTGGTGCTTTCAGTTGAAGGACTAAAGATACTTTACATTGGGAGTATTTGAAAGAAGGTATACTTTGGTAGTCAGGGCAGCTGGAAATGTGATGTGAGGGTTGTGTTCTCAGAAGGAAAGCACAAATCTGGCAGAGCCATGGAGATTGTTGGAGAGAGTGCTTCACTGGGGCTCAAGGGCTAGCCCAAGCCTACATAAGACTGTTGCCACTTCCCCAGTCTCCATTATGTTTGCTGTCCGAGGGCAGTATCTAACTATGGCTTTTAAGTAAATAACTAATTTCATTATAGCAATAGCACAATGAAATTCCCTCAGGCATTTCTGGTGAGTTCTGGCATTCCCAGGCATTCCTGGGAAGGGGGCTAGAAAGCTACCTGTAGTTTTGCCACTTGGAAAGCCAGTCTGTGGCTGACATGAACTACAGAAGTAAATCACTTCATCTTTCACTTCTTCCCCAAACACTTATTTCACCAAGTGTCTTCTCATGGCTTACCAGCTTTTACCTGTCTACGGCATTTGACTTTGGGGACCACATTCTTCTTTGAACCCTTATTCCTTTACTGTCATGTCACCAGTCTCCTTATTTCTCTCTGATCAGCTCATCTCTGTCTCACTCTCTGTTAGCCCTTCCTCCTTTACCTGCTCCTAAAATGTTGATGTCCTCAGGATTTTGTCCTCTGGGGTTTTTTTTCCTCACTCTACCAGGGGTGCCCAACCTTTTTGAATATCAGTGCCATACTGGAAGAAGAAGAGTTGTCTTGGGCCACACATTAAATACACTGTGACATGAAATCACAAAAAAAATCTCAAAGTTTTAGGTAAATTTATGATTTTGTGTTGGGCTGAATTTGCAGGCCGCAGGTCGGACACCCTTTCTGAGCAGTCTTGCTTATTCCACTGACTTCAGTCATCTTTCTGGATGCTGGTGACTTCTCAAGCTGAAACTCTTCCTTTAGTCTCTCTCCTGGGCTGTGTATCTGTTGCTCCTCCTCCACAGGGCATTTTGACTTCAGCTACATTAAAGCATCTCTATCTCTATCTATGTAGAGACTCCTGAGTTCTGGACATCTCTACCTGGATGACCTACACCTCCTTCAAATTCAAATGTACTCATTTAAAAAATTAACCTTTCCTTACCAAAAATAATCTTCCAGAATTTCCTGTCTTGAAAGATAGTGCCACTATCTACCGTTGTCTATCCAATTCTTAAATCAGAAAGTTGAGAATCATCAATTTTTCCTTCTCCCATCCCTCAATTTATTCAATCTGTCATTAAATCCTCATGATTTCATTTCCTAAATGTATGAGAAATTTAGTGCTTCCTTTCCTTTCTGTTATTTTAGGTCATGCTCTCATTATCAGTCCCCTAGATGAATGTTTTTAGTAGAATTCTGACCAGTTTTAGTTTCTACTCTTCCCCCCTAGCTCTCTCTTCACACCATCCTCAGTGTGACCTCTCTAAAGTAAAAATATTTTGTAATTTCTCCAATTATACGTTTTTAGTGATTCCCTACTGTCCACAACCTCCTTCACCGTAACAGAAGATTTTCCATGGACAGACCCAAACTAAAGGGTGTAATCTCTACTCAGTTCTATCCTCAATGTGACTTCTCTAAAAAAAATCTTATAATTTCCCCAATTATACATTTTCAGTAGTCCCCTACTGTCCACAACCTCCTTCACTGTAACAGAAGATTTTTCCATGGACAGACCCAAATTAAAGAGTATGATCTCTTCTCAGTTCTATCCCCAAATGTTGCCATATAAGAATATAAGCCAGTGTTACGAGATCTTTAGATTTTTTCAAACCACACATTCAGAATTTTATGCAAAATTTCCTATTTTTGAATTGTGGCCTCAATTAAAAAATACCATCACTAATAGTGTTCAGGACAAATAAAATAGTTCTGTTGGGTGGATATGTCTCAAGGTTCCCATGTTGTGACTTCTGCCTACATACATAAGAAAGCTAAATTGTCAGGGAAGGAAAAAAATTGATGGATGTGGGGAAGAAGAAGTAGCAGAAAAGAATAGACTTTCTGGAAACTGGGAATGGGATGATTTTCAGGAAAGGCTTTCCTCCTGCTCATGAAGTCCTCCTATACTCTGGTGGCACCACAAATGGCCTGACTGTGTGGATACCTGTAGCAGTGAGTAATGAGTTTTGTGGCTTTGTGAGCTGTGGATTGCGTTAGATTCTGCTAGCCTGAGGGAGGAAAAGGAATTAAAATGAGCTTTCTTGTTTTCTTTCTTGGGAGCTCAGAGCATTTTCTTTTAAAGATAGATGACATTTCTTGCACCTTGAGTTTAAAATTTTTTAAAAATTTATTTATTTTAGAGAGAGGAAGGAAGGGGGATAGACATCAATTTTTTGTTACATTTATTTATGCATTCATTGTTTGATTCTTGTATGTGCCCTGACCAGGGATCAAACTAATCCTTGGTGTATTGGGATGACATTCTGGGATGAGTTACCTGGCCAGAGTGCAACTTGAGTTTTGAGAAGTGGTTCATACCTGTCACACACTTCACATCCATCTATTAAATTTTTTGACCAGGAGTGTTTAAATAATGACAATTTGGTATTAAACTGAGCCAATACTTTTGGAAAGGAAGATCTGTTAAAGGGCAATAAAAATAATGTGATGCATTTCAAAGTCATATAAGAGATTTGGGGTTATCTTTATTACTGTTTTTCTAAATGGTGCAAATTAGGCACTGCACCATTAAAGGCGAAGTTACATTTTAATTTTTGCATCAATGCCAGTAACTCTGATGTAAACTCCAGTCTGCTTCCTTATTCCAGTATCTTAGAGAACCCACATCATATCCCTGGCTGGGTGGCTCAGTTGGTTGGAATGTCATTCTATACACCCAAAAGTTGAAGGTTCCATTCCTTGTCAGAGCACATACCTAGGTTGTATATTTGATCACTGGTCTGGGTGTGTAGGGAAGGCAACAGATCATTGTTTCTCTTTCATATTAATGTCTTCTCTTAAGATAAAATAAGGTAAGATAAAATAAGGTAGAGCTGTATCTTTGGGTGAGGATAAAAAAAAAACAGCCCACATTTCCTGAGGTACAAAGATAATACATTCACTATTAGGAGGGTATTTGGGGATGCAGAGGCACTTCACTGAGTCACTGCTTCTGTACAGGGCATTTTGACTCAGACTCAGATAAGAAAACTAACGACTGTGATTTCCTGGCCATTTAGAAATTGCACTCAAATCAATGTGTTCCCTGGTGACCAAAGAACACTGTGGGTGGGCTTGGGCCTTAAGGAGGACAGAAATGGTACACTTTAACAATGCTTTCTCTTCTAGCCTTAAAGATGTTCAGGAAAATGGAAAGGAACCCAAAGGACAAGGATATGTAGTCCCCATCATCATTCCTCATCCTGTTTTTGCTCTAGTCTACCAGGGGTCTGTGTAACTGTTCCTGTATGAAAAATCTGAGTATAGATTTGTATAATTATTGTCCAGGATAGATAATACAAAGATCAGAGAGGTATATTGCCCATTTATCTTAAAGCTATGACTACTACCTGATTCTTTTTACCCTTCAGCTTATTCCAAACCCTTTGAGTTTGTAACTGGACAGACTTCAGCATCATTTGGTGAATTCTGCTTTATTTGGGGCCTGGATTATTCAAACATCTTTATATGCATTCTCTCCTTTATCAGAAATTGCAAGTTAAGACCATAAGTTTGATACACCAAAGGTCTTAATAAATGTTTGTTGAATGAAAATGGATCAGTTTATATTTTGTTAATTAATCTGGGAAAGAAATTGGGATTTGGTGGCAGGAGGTGTGGGTGGAAAGAAGAATTTGATATAAAGGGCTATACTTATGTTTATTATTATTAGCAGGTTTAAATTAGCTGAGCCATTCCTGTCTTGAGATGCATCAAATAAGTAAAAGTTGGCTGTATGTCGTTTGTTTAAAACCGAATGCTGCCAGATTGCACACTTAGGAGTCTTCCTTTCAATTTCAGCTCTTGTGTTCTTAGTAATTTTGGTAAGATAACACATATAAACATTGGATAATAAAGGTTTGAGAATAGATTTTTAAAAAATAGTGTGTAAAACAATCAGAAATGCTTAAGTCCTTACTTCTCAACCTGGGAGATTTTACCAAGGCTTTTCCTGCTAAGTTGTTCACCTTTGCTGGGGAAATTCTGGTGCTTGAATGCTTCATTTCAGGCTTTTTTTTCAGGCTTCTGTTGGGTTAAAATATAGTATTAGTTCAATTGTCTCAACTTGAAAACAGACAGAAACAACTATGGCTAACTCAATATAAAATTGATAACATTTCTCATTGGTGATAACACCAAGAGAAATAATTATTTCAGTAATATTTGAACACAGTATTCTGAATATATATCTGCTAGAATATAGTCATAGAACAAAAAGGATCGCAAAGAAATCTTAAGCTTTACTTACTGGTTTTGTTATTAATGGTAATATTGGTATTGGCATTCTGACACTGTTTCCTTTACTACAGGATACAGCAAATAAGTAGATGCATTAATATCATAGGATTTTCGCTGTAGGGAAAGGGAGATACAAATATAAAATTTAAAAAGGCTAAGGGCAAATTCCTGGGATGTTAAATTTGAATCAGTAACATTGGCATGCTCATATCTTAGTTTTTAAGTACTTTTTTGTGCTAAAGGGAACTGGGACTAGATACGAACTGGGAAAATAGAAGTGAGCATGGAATATCCTGTGGTGCTGGAAAGCAGTGAGTTATTTAAAGCTTTTTAAAAAAATTTCTACAAAGAAACATTGCCTTTCACATGTGCCCAAACAGGGACCTGGCCTGCAACCCAGGCACATGCCCTGATTGGGAACTGAACTGGTGACTTGTTTTCAGGCCAGCACTCAATCCACTGAACAACACCAGCCAGGGCAGCAGTGAGTCATTTAAAAATTAGTGAGGTTGTATCAAAAGAACATATGAAGGGTCTCCTGCTGGGCAAATTTGGCACAATTTGAGCATCAAAAAGAATAATAATGGCAATTGACTATAACGCATTTGATGAAAAAAGAAACCCACAAGTCCATAGCATTTCTCAAGAAAGAATGGATGAGGAATTCATTTATTACAGAGGGAATGATAAAATTAGAAAAATAACCATCTCACAGTCCCCCATTTAATACTTGATTCAGGCAAGGATCATCAGTGAATGGTAGACCTTGACAATCAAGCTGGGTTGTCTAACCTACTGAAAGATTATGGAGTTTTCTGTCATAAACTGTAGAAAATTCCATATTTTTCCATTATTTTGTTAGTACTGCAACCTGGCTTCATCATCAAGGTAAGGTAGTGATGTGGTGGTTTGTGGGGGCGAGGGGGACTTCTTCTCTAGTCTTAAAATCTCCCTGATATTGCTGAATTCTACTAGTATTTATTGTTTCTTTTATTGAGTATTATCCTCTTTTTTTCTATAAAATAAAATCAAATTATTCCAGGAGTGGTTACCATTTAAATCTCTTATAAACTTCATATTGCCCAGCTCTTCTAGCTGAGTGAGGAAGCAACATTTAGTTCCTGGGCCAAAAGACTCACTGGAAGATAAACTTTATGCATCTTTATGTTTGTCCCTGGACAACCCCAAATAGGCTGAAATTTTCTTGTCTAGATGAAACTAGAGTCTTCCATGCAGCCATCCTACATATAGCCAGTCTCATGAGCAAAACCCTTCAACAGTAGGGCAGTTGAGGACTCCCTCTTCTGCCCATGGGAGTGAATGTTATCCTCACAGAGCTTGAGGGCTTCACATAAATCCTTATCTTCTTCCTCTGATTCTCTCACCTTTACTGATCAAGAACATTTAGAAGTAGAGAACCTTAGACATCATTTTACTGAACTCCTAACTTTATTGATGAGTGGGTTAAGTAAGACTGAAAGCTTAAGTGCCTTGCTCAGTCTTCAAAAGGAGAACTGGAACCAGAATCAAGTCTCCTGACTTCTATTTGTTATGCCAGAGCATCACCACCCTGTCTCCTCTTCCCCCCACCCAAACGTAGGAAGAAAAGTAATCAGAACTAGGAATTTAACTGGAAATGCTTAGCTGGTTGTCCAACTTCTTTAAAATAATAAGTTTCTGAATATGATAGATATTTTTTAAGCCTAATGTGTAATAGTGCAGGTTGGTAAATTTATTGTAGTTAATTTTTAAAACTAATAATCATTATTTTTATTAAGAGCAATATATTTGAATATGCTTCATGTTTGAAAATCTAGATTTAATTATTTGTGATATGTGAGTTAGAAGGTCTGGTTCTTTTTTTTTAAGTATACTTTATTGATTATGCTATTACAGTTTTCCCCACTTTTCCCCCTTTATCCCCCCTCTGCCCTGTACCCCCCAACATTCCAGCATTCTCCCCTCCTTAGTTCCCCCTAGTTTATGTCCATGGGTTGTACCTTATTGTAGTTGAATTTTAAATTGTATAAAAAATAAGTCAAAGAAGGTACCTACTACCCTGCACATAGTAGGTATTTAGATTACACTTTAGTGATACCATGAAAATTGCACTGCTGGATTTTTTGTTTTGACTTTTATCCAAGGATCCTTTTATCCTAGAAAAAAACTTTCCTGGATAGACATTAAAGGGAAAAAAAGCCCTGGCTGCGTGGCTCAGTTGGTGGGAGCCTTGTCCCGTACACCAAAATGTTGCGGGTTTGATTCCCAGTCAGGACACATACTAGGTGGTGGGTATTTCTTTCTCTCTCTTCCTCTCTCTGTCCTCTCTGTAAAAATATGTTCTAGGGTGAGGACTTGAGAGATAAAGTTGCTTTTTCAAATAAATGTGGGAAATGTTTCAATTTATATCCCATCTCTCAGGAAGTCAGTACTTAACATTTGCATAGTAAAGGTGTTGAGTGTCCATCACTCAAGAGTCATGGATACCTTGAACTAATTATTTCCAGTAATTATTTGATCTTGTAAACTCCCCCACCCTTTCTATTAAAACCCTCAAGGACTAGTTTAAGAGAACATACTCGGAGGAACTCCGGTCTCAAACATTAGCTTGCAGAGTTAAACAAGGTAGATAAAAAACCAAAGTACCACATTTTTGATAGTCATTGACACAGAATGTTGGCTGTTTTTTAAGAATCACGTGACAATTCAAAAACATAGTCAGGAAATATTTCCAAATCCTATTGTAAAACAAAGCATTTTCTGTAAACAATCTACAAATCTCTTACCTTAAAAAATATGATCACTCCTTTCAATAGTTTTTCAGAATTAAAAATTTACTCTTTACTCTCCTACTTTAAAATAAAAATATTTCAGACTATCTAGCAATATAAAGATTGTTGGTTCTTTTGCACTGCTTTTTCCATAACAAATAGCAAATATTCTTGTACACTGGCATGATACTCACCTAAGTTATAAACATCAAGGACTGGTTTCAAGTGATGAGGTTTCCTGCTGTTACCACTTGGTAGTAGTTGATGTAGTTATATTTTAACTATATTTATACACACACACTTGAATTAGGCAACACTGAATGACAGCATTTGGTGAATGAGGTGATGCAAATAGAGCCAGTTGAGGCAGTTAGAAGAGTGGGAGCATATCTTGTTCCCACAGGCAAATTCTAAACAGAGCTTTTACATTATTTAAGTTGGAGTACTTTCAATGAGTTCTTAGTTAATTATTAAGTTTTATCAAACCTTCATGAAATGGACTCTAGTTAGTATTTTAACTTAATATAGAGTATATAAAGGCATAGATTATTTAATTGCCTTTCTCTTTTCTACAAAGTTGATAACTTTTAAAGTATTTTTTCTATTTATAAAAATGATGTACATGTACTCATAAAATATGTAAATGACCGGGAAGCATATATGTTATAGAGCCTGACATTTTTTCGATGTAGAAATACTATGCATATCTACTTTTTATGAAAAAGTGGAATTATGCTGCAAATATCTTGTAAACTGCCTTCTCTAATTTTCAGTGAACACTACATCATGAATACTTAACATGTCAGAAATATTCTTTTATAGGAAGCATTATTATATTAATAGTATTCAATCATATAGATATACATAACTAATCTTTTATTGATTAGCACTTTAGCCATGTCCAGTTTTTCCTTTCTTTTCTTTTTCTAGTATTACCAGTGTTGCAACTGACAGCTGTGTGTGTGTGTGCATTGTGATTCTTGGTAAATCTTTAAAATTTGTTGGTAGTATAAATTCCTAGCTGTGGAATTGCTGAATCAAACAGTATGTGCATCTTCTATTTTAATAGATATTACCCAATTGACTTCTATTAGTTTGTATTAATTTATAATTGTTTCAACAATCAAGGTTCATGCCTTTTCTCTATTGCCTTAGCAGAAATATCTCACAGCTTCAAATTTTATTCTTCTTACTACTTAGTGAGTTGAGCATCTTTTTAAAAACATGTCTGTTGTCAATTTCTGTAAATTATTGATGTATGTGCACTCTTTGTAAATTAAGAAATAAAACCCCAGCCTATGATGTGTTGAAAAATTTTCCCCACTACCTCTTATCTTTAGAATTTGTTAATGGCATTTCTTTTTCATACATACATTTTCAAATATTATGTGCTTAAATTTAATCAGTGTTGTAGAGCTTCTGGGTTTTGTGTCCTGCTTCAAAAGAACTCCCTCCAAGATTACAAAAACAGTTTATTATGCCATTTTCTAAAACATTTATAGTTATTAATACCTAAATGTTTGATTCACAATTACCTTTAGTATAAAGAATAAGTAAGAGATTTTTTTCCACCAAGTGCTTATACCAACCACATATGTAACCAAATTTATATAGGGACCACCACGCAAAGGGTTGTTAGTGCAAAAGTAAGAAGTTTGAATTTTATTCAATAGCTAGCGGGAACCTTTTGAAAGTTTGTAAAGCAAGTTTGCGTATTGTGAATGTAGTTTTATAGCTGTGTGAAGGACCATCTGAAGGAAGAAAAGAAAGGAAAGAGGAAAGAAGGCTAGTTAGGAGGCCAATTAAAACAGCCTGGCCAAAATCAGAGAGGACAGATCTAAAGCAAGTTAGTGAGACTAGTAAGGAGATGTTGAAGGTAATGAGTGCTGCAGGCATTTCATATAGCCCTAGTCTTACCAGAAAAGTATCAGGCCAAAGCTGGTCTGCCTCTGGCAGGCTGGTAGTACGTAGGTTCTTGACTTCATGCAGAAAAAATTCACAACATGGGTCCAATTG